TTATTCATTTTTGCATAAATTAAAATATTGAGCTGGAAACTAAGTTCGTATAAAATCGTTATTTTAAAAACTACATTGATTAAAAATAATTTGAAAATATACTTTTTCCATATTTTCATTTTCTTTCTGTACTCCAATGGACAGACACCTATTTGTAAGGGGCTGGTAGCTTTTAAGTATTATGTTCTAGGTCAAAAACTATAAGTCCTAGAGTGAATCTGAGAACACCATTGGAAAGAGCGTAGAATTCTAAGGATACATGGTGTCAATGGTTTGTATCCTAACCTAATGGTTAGAGCACAGGGAGGCCGGAAGTTCGTTCAAAATCGTTATTTTAAAAACTACATTGATTAAAATAATTTGAAAATATACTTTTTTTATATTTTCATTGTCTTTCTGTACTCCAATGGACAGACATCTATTTGTAAGGGGCTGGTAGCTTTTAAGTATTATGCTCTAGGTCAAAAACTATAAGTCCTAGAGTGAATCTGAGAACACCATTGGAAAGAGCGTAGAATTCTAAGGATACATGGTGTCAATGGTTTGTATCCTAACCTAATGGTTAGAGCACAGGGAGGCCGGAAGTTCGTTCAAAATCGTTATTTTAAANGCGCTATAAAAACTCTATACTTTTTGCTGTGAAATATTGACTTGGAAACTAAGTACGTGCAAAATCGTTATTTTAAAAACTACATTGATTAAAATAATTTGAAAATATACTTTTTTCATATTTTCATTGTCTTTCTGTACTACAATGGACAGACACCTATTTGTAAGGGGCTGGTAGCTTTTAAGTTTTATGCACTAGTTCAAAAACTATAGGTCCTATAGTGATTCTGAGAACACCATTGGAAAGAGCGTAAAATTCTACGGATACATGGTGTCAATGTTTTTTATCCAAATTTAATGGTTAGAGCACAGGGAGGCCGGGTATTTCAACAAATCACATCTTCAATTAATTATAGAAAAATAATCAATATGTGTATTGCAAAGTTATGACATGGAAAATGTAGATAATTTAAATCTCTATCATATAAAAATTAAAAATATTTTAATAATTTGTAGCACCGGGAGGAAAGGGATGTATTTTATTGCGGGAAAACTACATGTCTTAGCGCAAATCTAATTAGTGCGTTGGATAGAGCTCAAGATATGGTCTTGACTAACATTTTAAATTTTTCAATTATCACTACAAATAAATGCGCTAGAGCAGTTCAAACTTTGCATTTTTCCATTGATAGATGTCATTGAAAATAACATACAATCCATAACTGTTTTCAATGACATCTATCAATGGAAAAATGCAAAGTTTGAACTGCTCTAGCGCATTTATTTGTAACTTTGTAACTCATTCATTTTATTTACATGTAAAGCATTTTTACATGTTTTAAAAGTTTTTACATATCTGTATACAGTATTAATTAAGTAACAAATATTCAGAAAGGTATATTAGAAAACTTATTTAGTCACCTTTTAGCACTTGGTATAATTAAATAATCAATGGAATAATCAATGGCTCTAAACATAAATATAACTTATAATTCTAAAAATAAATTAAAATAGTATTTCTATTATAAATAGCATTTAAAATTTCTTATTGTATTTTAATATTATAAGATATTATTTGTAATGACATTATCGTTGGTCTCTAAGATCTCCCTAAGAAGTGGGCCGATATGCTCAGGTGAAGATTCCGAGTAGTTTTTGAAGTGAATGTTACTTATAGTGTTCAAGTGATCCAGGCCATTCATGAACTTTATTAATTTCAAGTCGCTCTCTGATCGATATTTAATTTTAAGATACTTTTGTAATAAATGCATATAAATCTGCTTTTGGCACCTGTTTTACAATATAATCAACAATTAATACATACTTCGTAATGTAATTTATATAAATAGTGTCTATTCAAAATGTTCATTACTTCACTGTATCCCTGTTTATGAGGTCCGGCCTCTGATCGTTAAACAACACAATTATCGTTAACTATTAATATATTTTTT